GAAGAAGAAGAAGAAGAAGAAGAAGAAGAAGAAGAAGAAGAAGAAGAGAGGAAGAGGAGGAGGAGAAGAAGAAAACAGTGAGGCTTGGAGAAATGAGTCAATATCTCTAAGTTGCAGAGCAAGAGCTGAAATTAGTATGCAAACCAAGGTCTTACGTTGATAATAATAAACTTAGAGAACTGATTTACTTCTTTTAGACTCCACTCTCTATCCCTCTAAGATTGCTTCTTTACTTTGTAATATGAAAATAAAACGGCAATTTGAGGGAAATGTAGTTCAACAGAAAATGTTAAGGTGAGGTTTCTATATTCCCTATTGAATATAATACTGTTCCCCCTGTGGTAGACACTCATGTATCACCTCCACATAGTTCCATAGGGTTTTGAACTTACTGCTTGGTTCTCTCTTAGAGATGAGGTGCCATCCACTGCCATTCATCATTAGTGGCTCCTACACCTGCACAAATGGGGTGCTGCTTGATTCCCGCTGTGACTATAGCTGTTCCAGTGGCTACCACCTAGAAGGCGATCACAGCCGCATCTGCATGGAAGATGGGCAATGGAGTGGAGGCGAGCCAGTATGTGTAGGTAAATGCTGGTAGTTCCAGGTATTCTGTTGTAACATTCTACTTGAAGATGTGGAATTCTAATCACAGAAGGCCTTATTTTTCACCATGAGAATACAGAGTGGGCATAGCATTATTGCTTCTTCCTCCTGTTTTTGAGATAAAGGTGAACTTATGTCATTTTACTTACCCAGTGGTGTATTGCATTACTTCTATCAAGGCAGGGGGATCTATAAATCCACATTTGATTTTTTACCTTGGCAGACATAGATCCACCCAAGATTCGTTGTCCTCACTCACGTGAGAAGATGGCAGAACCTGAGAAATTAACTGCTCGAGTATACTGGGACCCACCCTTAGTGAAAGATTCTGCGGATGGTACCATCACCAGGTGAGCTTGATTCATGCATGCCTGTTGTGTCCCCAATACCTTCTCTCAGTGCCCCACACCCACCAGCATGCTCACAGTCCGACAATACAGGCTGAGCCTGAAGAGATGATGTGCCTCATATATCATTTCTAACCATTTTTCCATTAGTACCTCAATAACTCCTTCACCTTGTCTCATCAGGGTGACACTTCGGGGTCCAGAGCCTGGCTCTCATTTCCCTGAAGGAGAGCATGTGATTCGTTATACTGCCTATGACAGAGCCTATAACCGGGCCAGCTGCAAGTTCATTGTAAAAGTACAAGGTCAGAAAAAGCTCTTCATTGTACATGCTGTTCAATATTCTTGCTCTGCCCTGACCTCCAAAAACCTACAATAACCCTCTCCTCTTGTTTATATTGGGAAAAAGCCAACTTAATCAAACAGACTTATTAAGAAAACATACACTACATGGGTACAAAATTGTTCCAGAAAACTTTGACTCTCCAAGACTTTATCATTCTTCAAATCTAGATAAAATTCACATATTTTCTATATCCATTTCTTTTCTTGGCCTTCAAAATGATCAAATCTAATCAGTCTTTGCACCTATTCACATCTATTGAAATAACAATGTTGGTTGCCTAATGATTTTCTCTTTGCTTCCTGTTACATTGTTTCACTTTGTTTTTCTCATCATTAAAATGATTCATGCTCATAATCAGACATTTGAAAAAGAAACAAATACGCATGCCCCTCCCCAAGTCCACTGATAGGGGAGGTCCTCCTCTCCTTCCTTCTGATCCTAGTCTATCAGATCTCATTAGGAGTGGCTGCATTGTCATCTTCTGTGGCCTGGTAAGGTTGCTTCCCCCTCAGGGGGAGGTGCATGAAGAAGGGGATGGGAGGGTGGGATCGGGAAGGGAGGAGAGAGAGGCTTATGGGGGGATACAAAGTGAATAAAGTGTAATTAATAAAAATAAAATTAAAAAATTATAAAGAAGGAAATAGCCAGGTATAACAGCACATGCCTGTAATTCCAACACGTAAGGAAGAAACAGAAGGATAGCAAGTCCAAGGTCAGTCTGGGCTAAATAGCAGAATACTGTCTCAAAAATAAAATTAAAGCAATACATAAACAGTAATTTATTATGTCCATCTTCCAGAGCTCATTGTTGATAACAACTTAAGTGTTTTCCTTCTAGTCTTTTCTCTATATATACTTACAGTATATAATTTAAGATGACCCTTTCTACTTTCCATTAAAACACAAGTAATTTTCCCGTGTTTTTTGATATTGTTTTCAGAAATATTTTCAAGCACAATATAATAATTCTATTCTAAGACTGAATCATGATTGGTTTAAACAGTTACTCAGTTATGGACTCATCTAACTTATATGTTATTAAAGTAAGTCTGACCAAGTGTGGTGACATATACCTGTAATATCAGGGAGCTAAGGCAGACAGATAGTGAATGTGAGACCTTGGTGATCCCACAGAGAATCCATTTCAGCCTGCACTATGTTGATTGTGAGATAGAGTCTCAAGAAAAAGAAAATCATTTTGCAAGTTGGTCATATTTATACTGTGTATCTATAAAAGTCTACAAATATAGATATCAATATTTTCTTTTGTACATTTATAGCCATGATGACAATACATATATGTCTATGTGTTTGTGCGTGTGTGTTTCTGAAGATTAGTAACCTGTGTTTGCATTTCAAATTTAATTCTTTTGCAAAGGAATTTGTACCTTCATACATAGCTACTGAAAACATAGAAAAACCATTCATTTGTATAATCTGAAGTCTCTTGTCCTAAAAAGAGTGGAGTGGGTCCTTTAGCCTTTCCTGACTATGAGAGATATTATAATCCCTAACTTGAGCTTCTCTCTGGCAGTGAGACGCTGTCCCATTCTGAAACCACCACAGCATGGCCACCTCACCTGCACCTCAGCGGGGAACAACTATGGGGCCATCTGTGAATACCACTGTGATGGTGGTTATGAACGCCAGGGCACCCCATCCCGAGTCTGCAAATCAAGTCGACAGTGGTCAGGATCACCACCTATCTGTACACGTGAGTGAAACCAGGAAATGAGTGAATAGGCCTGTGGCTCAGAGTCACTCTACAAGAACTTCTGTGGTCCAGGCATTAATATCACTTGTGTGATATGGGAATGGAGATTCTGAGATGGGTTTTTTTTTTTTTAAGGGCCAACATCCTCCAGAGAATACTTATACCTCAGGAAGAATGGTATAAAATATTCAGGAATTTACCTTCTGGAATTTACCTCAGGGAAGGGAGGGCAAGGCTATACCAGACTGGAATGCCTTGAAGGGTTAAGAAGAAGGGCATGTTCTGACTGATCATCTGCTTTTGCCCTAGCTGTGAAAATTAATGTCAATGTCAACTCAGCTGCTGGCCTCCTGGACCAGTTCTATGAGAAACAGCGACTCCTCATAGTCTCAGCTCCTGATCCCTCCAATCGATATTACAAAATGCAAATCTCTATGCTGCAGGTGAGACCGACTGCACTAGGATGGCTTAGCAAAAAGTTCACTCTGCCAACACAAAAACTACATATTCCTACTTTTTGTGGGTAGTATTTGATTAGTTTTTATTATTAGGTACATTAGTCAGGTTTTTAATAATCTACTCTTTTTAATATTTATTGTATGTATATGAGTGCCCTATCTTCATGTACTCCTGCATGACAGAACAGGGCATCAGATCCCATTGTAGGTGGTTGTCAGCCACCATATGGTTGCTGGAAATTGAACTCAGGACTAATGAAAGAGCAGTCAGTGCTCTTAACCACTGAGCCATCTCTCCAGCCCCCATTGGCCACATTTTTTTTTTGTTTTTGTGGAAAAGTCAGTAAGTATGATAATGTATGAAAAAGTCAGTAAGAAAGGAATGGTAGATGTATCTTGCAAGGAATTGGGCATAGGCTGGGAAAGTAATGTGGAGAAGTTTGTAAAACTACTGTGATCAAATATAAATATTAAGAATAAATTATGTGTGTTTCCAAGGAATTTCACTTGTATAATAAATGCTGGGTAAGTGTCATTTAATGACTGGTGTGCTTTTACATATATACAACTAATTCACACAACAACCCTTATGAGGTAGGTACAATTCTATGCCCTACTGAAGATTGAGGAAGCTGAAACAGATTAAGAGACTTTCCAAAGATCGCTAGCTAATAAGAGGTAGAGCTGGGACTGAACCCACACTATCTAGTTCCAAGTCTATGCTGTCTATCACTATCAGTTAAAAAAGTGCCATGATATCACAAAAGACAGCAAGGAAGTTGCATTGTGATTTTAACTAATGAGTAGGTAGAAGATTGATAAAAGGCCAGTCTAGGTGGCTGTCAAGACTTGTTTCTCTTTTCTACTCCACATTGCACAGTCTTTTTCAGACACTTAGGCTGAATAAAGGAAACATTTTTGTGTAGCCAGTACTTCAGGATTGAGGAAAAAGTCTGTACAGACCTCACAGTATTGTGATTCTGAGATTGTGTATCATTACAGAAACCTTTCCTTTCTCATGTTAATGGAGTCACAGCATAAAAACACGCTATTTTATTTAATGTTCTCTCTCCCTCGCAGCAATCCACCTGTGGACTGGACCTGCGGCATGTGAACATTATTGAGCTGGTGGGGCAGCAACCTCAGGTGGTGGGGCGAATCCGGGAGCAACAACTATCAGCTGGCATCATTGAGGAGCTCAGGTGCAGGCTGGGAGGATGCAGGGCAGGGATGGGCAAGAACCTGATACAGTACACTAGCAAGCAAGAGTATGGACTAAACCAGCAGACATGTATTAGTCTCTTGGAGGCATTTTTTTTTTTTTTGTGTGTGTGTGTTTGAACTCTTATAGCTGCACTAAGAAAGGACAGCAAATCTTAGCTCTAAAGGAACATGATAATTAAACAAGAGGCATAAAGTATACATAACCAGGCTCTACAACAAACCACTTTTCTGGGCTTTCATAAAGGCACGTCAGATGACTTTGAAGAGCCACAACAAAGACAGCCATAAAGGATTCCACTCCAGACTTGAATTGCGAGGAAGCTTCTGATCTCATTGCCTATGAGCTCCTCTGTTTACTTCCAATCAGTCTATAAAGGAGAAAAAGGCATCTTTGGCCACTGAAATCTGAATCATATCTATCTGTCCCTCATGAAAAAGAAGGTTATAGCTAACAGTTGATAGAAGTTGACTTTTCTCATCATCTATCCATTATTGGCATTACAGTTCCTCAATTATACTGAGGTCCAATAAAGCCATCAGTGTTCTTTGAGAAATAATACCTACCTCTAGGATTCAGTTTCAGTGGGGACAGAATGATTCAGAGCAATTAAAGAGACTAGGAAACATTCTGTGGATGGAGGCAGCGGACTTGCTGCTGCAGGTGGAAGAGTTAAGCAGGATTTGCTTATCAGCCTCATACCTGCTAGGTCTGATGTGCATACAAGTCATAGTGCCTGCAATATGTAGCAGGAGTTGCTCCATGCAATCTGCAAGCAGTACACAATCATCTTGCTTCAAGTGAAAAATACAGTGCAGAAATAACAGGCTAGGGAGAGGAAGGAAAGCTAGACTCTGTAAGGCTACCAAGACTAAGAACTCAACAGAGAATAAGCAAAAAGGATTTGAGATGGGACATGGGACAGGGCACACAGAAAGGGGTGGAGTTATAAAAGAGCAGAGGGTAGTGGGACAGTCTTGTGAGACTTGGACCAACGTCTCACGCCTCTCTGGACTGCTCTGTCTAGGCAATTCCAGCGCCTCACTCCTTCCTACTTCAACATGGTGCTAATTGACAAGCAGGGTATTGACCGCGAACGGTACGTGGAACCTGTCACCCCTGAGGAAATCTTCACATTCATCGATGACTACCTGCTGAGCAACCAGGAGCAGGCACTGCGTCTGGAGCAAAGGGATGTGTGCGAGTGACCTTGAGCCAGGGTGTGGCTGAGGCAATTATCCTAGGTAGCTTAAACTGAGGAGGAAATGTCCCACACTATTGGGAGCAGGATTCAGGTGGGGGTGAGTGAGATTTACCAAATCTAGGACAGTTCCAGGCATCATTTTAGGGCAGAATATTTGCTTCCCTATGCAAGTCTCCACTTCAGGTAGCACTGGAGGAGCATGTGAAAGTAGGTAGGGACTGAGGACAAACCCTGGGCAATGGGTTGGGGGTAGAAGGTCTTCTTCATCTGACTGGAGCCTCTCCCTAACTTTCCAAAGTCTTTCAGATAGTAAATCCTAAATTCACTCCTTTACTGTGTCAGAAATGCTTCCTTTACCCTATAGTGACAGCAGAGGGCAGCATTGCAACAGACAAGCAGGACACTAAACAAGTACAAATAGATTTTCCTTACAATTAATTAATTGTATTAGGAACAGTAGAGGGGTGACTAGGGCTTACAAATCATTCCTGAAGCTAATGTTGTTTGCCCATCCAGAACACTGGGCTAAAAAATATGTTGCTTGAACTGTTGCTTCATCAAGAGTTAGAAAAACATTTTATCCAAAAGAAGTGTGGGAAGCAACATCCAGCCATAGCAGGATGTTCTTTCATAGATGCTCCCACAAGCTTGTGGCCAAGAATTTCTGCCTACTGAGGTCTTTAGTACCCTGATGATGGCACTTCATCAGAGGGTCCCCCAGTCTATGAACTAGATTAGGAATTGGGGAAATTGCTCAGCAGGTAAAATGCTTGTCATGCAAGCAATTTGTACCTGAGTTTGATCCCCGGAAGCCATGTAAAATAGCCAGCTGTGGTAGTGTGCACCTGAGATCCCAGTGGAGAAGTAGAAACAAGCAGATCTGTGCAGATCACTGGTCAGCAAGTCTAGTCTAATGGTGAGTACCAGGCCAAGTAAAAAACTATCTCAAGAAAAATAGTAAATGGCATGAAGGACAAAACCCAAGACTGACCTCTGATCTCCACATACATGTACACACATGTGCATGCACACACACACCACCACCACCATCAAACAGCAGAAAGAACAAAAATGGATAACCTCATTTGATGACTTCCTCAGATACCTACTTTTAAGAGATAAGCACAGAGCCAGTAGCTACAATACATCAATGTTTGAAACAAAGCCAGAAAGCAAACTTGAGGTTTAGACTTTTGGGAAATGGAGCCACACATAGTTCCCTACTCATCTTTTGTTTTTCTTTTCCTTTGTTCTCCCATTCCTTACCCTTCTATGCTGGGCATTAAAGCCAGGATCTTCCATAGGCCAAGCTGATAATCCATCTCCAGCTGCAGGTTTCTGCTCTGACTTGTGTCACAGTGTTTGAAACAAAATGTTCTTCACTTGATTCTGAGAACTATCTTTTATACAGTGATGGAAGCCACAATCACAGTCAAGACTCAGATGTCCTGTTTCTTCAGTTTTCTCCTGGGCACCAACATTGGGCACCCAGAGACAGTAAACAGGTTGGGTGGGAAGGCAGCGATAGTAATGTTCAAGCACCTACAATGTGTCAGGTAACATTATAAGCACACTGTTGATTGACTCAGAAATCTTCAGAAGAGCCCTAAAAGGTAGTTGTTGTTATTAGGTCCCATTTACTGATGAAGGAATTGAATCATAGAGAAGCTAGGCAATATGCTAAGACCAGACAACTAATAAGTCAGGCATAAACAACAGAAGCCAGGCTCCACTATACCATCTGACCTCTTCTTTTTTTTCTACTTCCCATTATAAGATAATTAATATGCTAAGGGGAAAGGTTTCATCTTCTAAAGATACAATATTCACAGTGGCCCCAGAAGGAAGGAACAAAATGAAAGGCTCTCATCCCAGGAAATTTTTTTCTTTAAAGCAGAGTGGTATGACATAAATCATAAGCCCACAATGTATTGGGGGGGAGCAGTGAATCAGAGAGAAGCCATTTCAACTTAGGTTCTAGTGGTAATCTCAGTTTTAAAAGGCAAAACAAGAAGTCAGCCAGTTGCTCAGTAGAGTAGAACATGGAAGAAATGATCAGACAGGTAAGAGGGGAAAATCCCCTTCTCCATCTTCCCTTGTGAGAAATATCAGAGTTGTGAAAGGCCAAAGGCAAATCAAAGGTGAAATACAATGAGTACATGTAGGAAATTTCTGGTCAGTCAGGGTCTGTTATTCCAAAGGCAAAGACAGCATTGGGAAAGATAAATGTCCTCTTTGTCATCATACTAGCACTTCAAGTGGCAAGCCAGGACATGTTAGTAGATCGAAAGCCCAGAAGATAACACAGGGTTCCACTGCCTCTTGCATAAAGAACCCAGCTGGGCCTGACCCTTGCATGGAAATGTTCCAATGAACTAGGGATTACAACAACTTTAGGGGCTTGCATTTTTGTGTTTCATTTTGAGTAATCAATTCAATCCTGCCTTCCCTAGGTAAGGTCTTAGTGTAACCCCCTTTATATTCTTTATAGATAAAGACTTAAGAAATCCAAGTAGGAGAAAGAGACAGGAGCAGAATCAGAGCCACAGCCAATCAGAAACAAAGGGGCTGGAATGACAAAAGCCACTTAATTCTTTCTTTTTTAAAATTGTATTTATATTTTTATAGATTACAGTTTATTCAACTTTTTATATATAAAATTGTATTTATATTTTTATAGATACAGTTTTATCCCTGCTGTAGCCCCCTCCCTCATCTCCTCACATGTCCCTCCCCAAGTCCACTGATAGGGGAGGTCCTCCTCCCCTTCCCTCAGACCCTAGCCTATCAGGTTTCATCAGGACTGGTTGCATTGTTTTCCTCTGTAGCCTGGTAAGGTTGCTCCCCCATCACAGGGAAGTGATCAAAGAGCCAGCCATTGAGTTCAAGTCAGAGACAGTTCCTGTTCCCATTACTTGGGGACTCACTTGGAGGATGAGCTGCCACAGGCTACATCTGTGCAGGGGTTCTAGGGGTTCTAGGTTATCTCAATGAATGGTCCTTGGTTGGAGTATCAGTCTAAGAAAAGAACCCTGGGCCCAGATTTCTTGGTTCTGTTGCTCTCCTTATGGAACACCTCTCCACTCCAGCTCATTCTATCTCCAACTTCTGTCATAAGATTCCCTGCACTCTGTCCAAAATTTAGCTATGAGTCTCAGCATCTCCACCGATACTTTGATGGGTAGAGTCTTTCAACAGCCCTCTGTGGTAGGCTCTTGTCCAGTTGCCTGTTTTCTCCCTCTTTTGATGTCCATCCCCTTTGCCTTTCTGCATGAGGATTGATCGTCTTACCCAGGGTCCTCCTCCTTGCTTAGTTTCTTTTTTTAAATTTTTTTATTTAACTTTTATTAATTACACTTTATTCATTTTGTATCCCCCCATAAGCCCCTCCCTCCTCCCCTCCTGGTCCCAGCCTCCCCCCCCCTTTCTGCATGCATGCCCCTCCCCAAGTCCACTGATCGGGGAGGTCCTCCTCTCCTTCTTTCTGATCTTAGTCTATCAGTTCTCATCAGAAGTGGCTGCATTGTCAGGGTTCTAGGTTATCTCCATGGATAGTCCTTGGTTGGAGTATGAGTCTCTGGGAAGTTTCCTGTGTTCAATTTTTCTTGTTCTGTTGCTCTCCTTGTGGAGTTCCTGTCCTCTCCAGCTCTTACTATTTCCCACTTCTTACATAAAATTCCATTCACTCTGCCCGTCAGTTGGCCATCAGGCTCAGTATCTGCTTAGTTTCTTTAGGGGTATAGATTTTAGTATGTTTATCCTATATTATATGTCCAATATCTACTTATAAGTGAGTATATACCGTATGTCTCTGCTTCTGGGATACCTGACTCAAGATGATCTTTTCTAGTTCCATACATTTGAATGCAAATTTCACCATTTCCTTGTTTTTAATTGCTGAGCAGTATTCTATTGTATAAATGTACCACAATTTCTGTATCCATTTCCTCAGATGAGGGACATCTGGGTTGTTTCCAGATTCTGGCTATAACAAATAAAGCTGCTATGACAATGGTTGAGTAAATGTTCTTGTTGTATACCTGAGCATGTTTTGGATATATGCCTAGGAGTGGTATAGCTGGATCTTGAGGAAGCATTGCTCCTAATTGTCTGAGAAAGCGCTGGACTGATTTCCAAAGTGGTTGAACAAGTTTACATTCTCACCAGTAATGGAGGAGTGTTCCCCTTTCTCCACATTCTCTCCAGCATGTGCTGTCACTGGAGTTTTTGATCTTAGCCATTTTGATGGGTGTAAGGTAAAAGCTCAGGGTCATTTTTATTTGCATTTCCCTATGACTAAGGATGTTGAGCATTTCTTTAAGTGTTTTCTTCCATTTGATTTTCCTTCATTCAGAATTCTCTGTTTAGCTCTGTGCCCCATTTTTTATTGGGTTATTTGATTTTTTGCTGTTTAACTTCTTGAGTTCTTTATATATTCTGGATATTAGCCCTCTGTCAAATATAGGGTTGGTAAAGATCCTTTCCCAATCTGTAGGCTGTCATTTTGTTCTGAGGACAGTATCCTTTGCTTTCCAGAAGCTTTTCAGTTTCATGAGGTCCCATTTATTGATTGCTGCTCTTAGAGCCTGTGCTGTTGGTGTTCTGTTCAGGAAGTTTTCTCCTATGCCAATGAGTTCAAGGCTCTTCCCTACTTTTTCTTCTAAGAGGTTTAATGTGTCTAGTTTTATGTTGAGGTCTTTGATCCACTTGGACTTTAGTTTTGTGCAGAGTAATAAATATCAATCTATTTGTACTTTTCTACATGTAGATATCTAGTTAGACCAGCACCATTTTTTGAAGATGCTGTCTTATTTCCCCTGGATGGTTATGGCTTCTTTGTCAAAAATCAAGTATCCATAGGTATCTGGGTTTATTTCTGGGTCTTCTATTTGAGTCCATTGATCCACCATTCTATTTCTATGCCAGTACCATGCAGTTTTTATTACTATTGCTTTGTAGTATAGTTTGAGATCAGGAATGGAGATATCTCCAGAAGATCTGTTGTTATACAGGATCGTTTTAGCAATTCACTTAATTTTTTCTTATGCAGCTCCCTTCCCTTTTCACTTCTCCTTCTGTTCCCCTCACTTTCCTCTCTCCATTTTTGCCACTCTTCTCCTTCTTCATACTCCCTTTCTTCTTCCTTCTCCCTCCTGTATCTCTCTCATACACACATACACATATACACACGCACAAGCACAAGCTATGTTGCCACTTTACTGGTTTGGTGATATCCAAAGCGTTCTTATTATCCTCTTTTGTAAATTGATCCCATTTCTCTAGGGTATTTTAGAAAAGATGAACCATGCTTTTGCTTAATGTTTTGCCCTCTGCATACATCCTTCTCACAGGAGACAACATGGTAGAGTCAGACAGTGATTCAAATTCCAATTCTGTCACATGACAAGGAGCTCATATTTCTTTTTTTTTGGGGGGGGGCTCACATTTCTTTAGCTGCAAGAAGATAAGGTTTGATACTTCATAAGTTGTTGGAGACAGTCAGGCATTATACAAAACCTTATGTACAATGTGCATTTTTTTTCCAAATATGTTTTTTCACAGAGGTCAAGAATCACTGAAGCTTTAGCTAGAAACTCTGAGCCTTATTTCAAAGATGAATTGTTTTGCATATGTGATTTTAGCTCTCAAATCTAAATAATGAAGAAGTGAGGATAAATCTCTACCTCCAAAAGAAACTGCATAATCTACAAAGAAGTGCTGGTAGAATGGAATGTGTCCCCTCAAGCCTGTGTGAACATCTCTCTTCTTCCTCAAGCAAAGGCCAAGGGCCAACTTCTGAGCTACTTTAAAATACCAAACATATAGGAGAAGGAATCTGGGCTCAGCAAAAGTATCAGAAAGCAGTGGGGAAAAAGGCATATTTTCTTCCAATATAGCAAGGTGCTTTTCTTTCTCTGGTTCTGACCTTCAAGTTGTGAGTGAAAGTGAGAATAATGAGTGAGGACATCAGAGGCAAAAGCATCTGCAAAACTCAAAAATGTAAACACACTCAAGTGATAAAGCTTTATTGAAACACACATGCATATTGAGGTGGAATACCAAAGAACAAGTATGAGCTTGAGCTCTCAAGTTATGCTTCCATTACAGTATCAATCCACATTGAAGGGATCGTGGAAAAACAGTCTGTGCAATTCAGACCTACAGACTTAACTACTCTAGCTGCCTTCAATCCAGTGAGTGACCTTACAGGAAAGTCAACTTGCAGATGGATCCACTGACAGGGATTTCTTCTCTGGTTCAGACACTATCCACATACACCTTTGTATAGATAGACTGCTATGAATGGAAAGTCCAGTTTAGAAGAATAAGTAGCAGGAAATAAAAGCTTACTAGATTCCTCTTTTAAGTCTCAACACACTACTCCCATGTTACCCCTTGGAAACAACCAAAAATAGGAACTGAAAATATTTTAGTTAAAAACTTAGAATAGCTGGGTGGTTCCATCCACATTTTCATGGGGTGTTAATAGTTCCTAGCCTGGGGCAGCACTGTATTGGTTTAGAGTCTTTGGCAGTTTGGGCTGAAACAGAGATATGCAGACTATGTTCTATATAGTAGCACACCCCAGACACAAACTTGGAGAAAGCTATAGTACGTGAGAATGAAGATGTCTCATCGTACATAACGGAAATAAAGATATCTCTTTCCAACAACTGCTGTAACAGTTAAAAACAGAGAATTCAGCATGAGTTGTGAAAAATTTATTCAGAGTCACTAAGACCTTTTGGGATCAGCTAGTAGGTCTCGCAGGGCATGTTAATGCCTCAGTGAAAAGGCCATTATCTTATTAAAGTGGATTTTCTAAAGTCACTCATTATAAGGGTTCCCCAAAGGTCTAGTAAGGAGCTGGAGAATTTTCATTGCATTAAAAACAACAACAAAAACAAAAACAAAAACACTATACTCAAGCAAGACAGAAATTGCTTAAAAAAGAAGAGTTAAAAAGCAAGTTCTATATCAAGAAGTGTATCATGGTAAATGATGACATAAAATACAAACTGGAGAAGAAGGACTGGTTGTAAACCACACTCCCATAGTCCTGTCTTTAACAACCAAGCCTCACTTCCAAGAGCATTGGCCTTCGATCAGGCACACCTAAACCTAAAAATAAAACTAATGCTAAAACATCACACTTCCAGGGGGAGTAAGAATACGGATACCAAGATAGAAGGTAGAGAGTTGTAAAAGGTTTTTAAAGTTAATTAAACTACAGAAAGATAGAGGCAACTATGTACTCCAAAAATATAATAGACTATACATAAATAAACACAATTTGAAAAGACCTTTATGCTGCTTTAACAGAGAACATGCCAGTGTCACGCTAGCTAGTAAAATAAGATCTGCAGAAATATGTTCATACAAACACATGCACACACATTAAATTAGAAATCTTTCCTTTTGGTTGCTTTGCTTTTTTGACTTGAACTGACCAGGAATGCACCTGTAGATGAGGATAGGGACTCATACACCCAGCTTCTGCTTGACCATTGAAGAACGTAGCTGCAGAGTTCCTTCTGCCCAAGACCCTGGGTACTGTTGCATCTTCTGCCACAGGCTCACTTCTTCACCAGTTGAATCCATCCAGTCCACCACTTCGCCATTACTGACCCCTGAGGAAAAACACCAGATGAGGCTGAACAGAGTCCTATCACTGAGCCCATCAGGGAGGATGGGTTATATAGTGAAGGAATCTAACCCAGAAAAGACATTGTATAGTGAAGGCAGCAAGCTGGCAAGCTGAGTCTACAAATACTTGTGCTCCTGAGACAATCCAGAGACTGCTGGTTGATGATATGGGACTTGAAATGACATAGGTCAATGGAGGCTTGTTACTTAGTGGACCTTTCAAAGCTCTAATGTCTGACACCCCATACCAGACGTGCTACCCTTCTGTCATTGGCAACTTGACTTAATATTTTTAAAAATACAGTTTATTGCATACAGTGTAAGAAAGCAATGAGCTGGTTAGTAACTAGAGTACTAGTCTACACATGGAAACTTGACTTAACTTTTTTGTTTGTTTGTTTTTTCAAGACAGGGTTTCTCTATGTAGCCTTGGCTGTCCTGGACTTACTTTGTAGACCTGGCTAGTCTTGAACTTGTGGCAATCTTCTAGCTTCTGCCTGCAAAGTGCTGAGATCCATGGGCATGCACAATGATGCCCAATCTCTGAATATATTTTTCTATAAATTCTAGGCCTAAAGTTAGGATTATGTGCTCTTACTTCTATTTTATTGAATAGTAATTGATTCATTCAATGAGCATTTCTTGAGTGCCTATTATATGCCAGTTTGGAGATGAGGTGAGGAACACACAATGAATGCCACTACCATTGGTAGGTTACATGTAAGTAGAAAAGTTAATCAACATAAAACCCAAAGTAGGAAGTTACTTGACAGACTTGGAGAGCAGAGTAAAAGTAATGTTAGTTGGAACACAATGAGTGAGCAGGAAATGACACAGGAAGAATAAGAAGAGTACAGATAATATGGGGGTCTGTAGACTTGGAAAGAATTTCTAAATGTGGGAGAAAGACAGCAAAGGGTTTTAAACAGGGGACCAACTTAAAGAAGCTCATATGTGTAAAAATATCATTGTAGATGCTTTCTATCAGTTATTCATGTACAAGTAGTATTTGAGTCTATAAGCATCCACCAGACATATCCAACCAGAACTGCATGGAGCTAAGGACAACTATGAGTATGGCCCAACACAAAATCATAACTAATTAAAACAATAAAGTTTTTTCCGTTTTATTTTTTGTAATTTTTGATAACTCAGTTACACAGTTCTTGAGTGTGAACACTACACTTGAAAATGTCGTGATGCAATAATTTTAAAAGGTCGGAGGGGCCTGATCAAGTTTATAAAAAGAGAAAAAAAAAAGCATATCCAAGACTGAGCCCAGAGAGCACGAATTTGAGTACAAAATGAAAAACCTAAGAAAGACACTGAGAAGTGGTACACATGGAATCAAAGGGAGTCAAAGAAGGCAGTAAGTTGTTAGCATTTCAAGAAAAAGGAGCAATCTGCTCTATTAAATAGTGCTTAGAAATTCTAGTGAGATAATTACCTCACTTTGGCATGAGTAACCACTCACTAGAGTAGAAGAATGGAAGCCCTATCACATGGACTAAGAGTTGAAGACCAGGAAAAGGAATTCATTCTTTTTAGAGTGAGTGGGAGATAAGGCCAGTGGAGAATTTACTCTTTATTAAATCAAATTGCACCTGAGAAGGTTGTTAATATGTCTATTATCTGGGTACTTGAGAGGTAGAGATAAGAGTATCAGGAGTTCAAGGCAAATCTGGACTACATGAGACCCCATCTCAAACCAAAGGGAGAAATGAACAAAGAGATTGGCATCACCAGAGCATGTGTGCATTCCCTTTCAAGAGTCAAATCAAATGAAACTGATTATACAGAACAGACAGAGATTGCAGAAGCACTGAGAAGCAGGAGGTAATCTAGAATTCTTGAGGAATGATGATTAAGGACCCTTTTCAATAAACAAGATAGAAGATAGAAATCACAAGTCAGGTATTTATGTAGTTTTAGATATTCTTTTGTAGGAGGATGATGAAGTTCCTGGCTTTCAGGGTCACCTTTCTGTACATAGAACACTGCATGAGTTTAGCCTTCACTTATGCCTAACTCAATAAGTATTTGTTGGATGTTTTCATAATGAAAATTTTCTGACAGAAAATTTCTGTCAGAAAAGATCTTTGTATATTGCAGTGGGCAAGAAGTGAGAAGAGTGAGAAAGACAAGAGGCCTTTAAGACAAGTGATGATCAGATGGGGGAGAGAGTCTCACCAGTGCCAACACCCAGTCTGACTCCTCCCAGGAAGTCATTGCTGGCTAGTGGTTCCCGGTCCCATACAGTCAGTTCCAGGCACATGTGTCGCAGATCTTCCAGCCTCACACCATTGTAGACAAATGTATGGTTGTAGTGGGGATTCAGGGTCTTCTTCATCACAGGAGTTTTACGCTTACTGGCCTTGTTCCTCATGGGAAGGAGGTATCTGGCAGAGGGTGGGGAGTCATCAACACCTACTCAAGCTGGAAATATGACTAAGCTCCCCTTGACTCTACCACAGGCCTATCCCTGCATGGTAAGTTTGCACCCAGGTCAAAATACACAGTGCTCCTTTGAACCTTCCCACTCTGTGTACTAGGGATCATCTATTTCCTTTAACCTGGAGAGGAAATGAATATGTTAGTTATCCTAAGGCCTATCCTCTAAGCAAGGATGAGTTTAAATGTGTGGTTCTACTTTTCTCACACAAGGTAAATGAAGCCATTAGTAATATGTATAAGGTTACTCACACATGACTTCGTAGGGAGCTGAAGTCAGTAAACTATTTCTAATATAGAAGAAGCTTACAGTGCATAAGAATAATGAACAGAGCTTTGAACCTCAATTCTAGACAGTCATGGGACATGGAATGTCCATCTAGGATTAAGGAAGATGATTAGTCTGAGAAAGTCTGAACCTAATTGTCTATCACTCTCTACTTTGAGAGCTAGCACTAGAATTGAGACCAAACTGAAGACCAGTGCAAAGGAAGTGGTGGAGATTTTGCCATTATGTAATTTCAGAAACAAAGCTACTGAAGGTGGCAGGCTGAGGGCAGGAGCTACAAAGGAAAATTAAATTGGGTTCCCCACTAACTTGCTTATTCTATAACTGGTTAGTTTGATGCTGGTCCAGGGACTCACCCCTTGACAAAGCTGTCTGAAGTCCCTCCTGATTTGGCAGCCGTCAGGTTCTTGGCTTCTTTGATCCACACCTGGAGTTCTCCCCCTTCCCCACCTTTACCTGTAAGGGATGTCATCCATTGCAAGTGAACCCCCATGCCAGCAGGCATATCTTGAGCTTTCACTATATAGAACTTCCTCTCCTTGCTTTGGAATACAGAAAAGTCCTTAACCGAATCATGCCTGCATCCTTTGTTCCTAGCACAGTGCCCAGCATAAGCCATAGGAACTCAATAACCCTGATAGCAACAAATATTCATTAAAAACTTGCTATGAACCAAACGCCACCTTAAGCATCTAATTTCTCTAAGCAGTCCTATGACATACACACTACGATTGTTCTCATTTTATACATGAGTCAACTGAAGCTAAAAGAAGCATCTGCATGTGGTTTGCTAAGCAATTGAAGAAGGAAGGAAGTCTTCTGCTGAGTCCTTGCCCTCACCACTTACTGCACAGGACTCAACAAAGCACCATCAATTTCCATCCCCCACCTACCATGTTGAATATCCCTTTCCCCAGACCGATCCCTTGCCCTCAGCCCGAACACTTGCTGAATGTACTGTTTCTTTTTTTTTTAAATATCCATTTTGAAAGAAAACCTCCCTTCCTTCGATTTGATCCTTTTGAAGCTGTTCTATGTACCTTTTCTTTCTTTTTATGATCACCAATTACCCTGAGAAAGAATTGACCACGTTTATCACCTCTGCTTCTTCACCTCATCCACTCAACCTAGTGAAATCAGATTCCATTAATGCCTTCCAACATAATTGTAACAAACTGCTGTCTTCTTAGTTCTCCTCTGGCCTGGCAGCTCAGAGTGTTTGAAGAGTGTTGACAGTGCCTGCCTACCTCCTCCTCAATCTATCTCCTTGCCGTTCCTAATAACCCTCTCTCTCACTGACAGATAACACTTTTCCTCATTGACATTTTCCATCTCTTCATCACCTTAAAACCTCCCAAAGGTCCTGTCTTTGGTTCCTTTCTAGTCATTCCATACACACTCCTTAGGATCTAGTAATTCCTCAAATCTACATTACACTTTGCTGAATATATATATATATATATATATATATATATATATATATATATATATACTCAAATACATATATTTTCATATATACACATATATTCTCATACATACATATATGTATATATATACATATATGTATGTATATATATATCCAAAATTTTCACTCATATATATATATATATATATATATATATATGAGAATTTTGGTTTCCCATTGCTAGCAGATAAAGTTAAGTTAAACACTTTTATTAAAGGCCTTTTTCTTTTTTAGTTGGCTCCAGAATCATCTCCAATCCCAACTGTACTTACATACATTCCCATCATAACTCCAGCTCCAGCATAACTGGGAACATACTCCTGACCACTGACCTACAACCTCACAACCATACATTTAACAGCCATACATATTGAGCTTTTTTTTTTTTTTTTTTTTGAAACAGGGTCTCATGTAGCCCAGGCTGACCTCAAATGCACTATGTAGCTCATGATGCCCTTTAACTCCTGATCCTCTTGCCTCTAACTCCCAAGTGTCAGTTTATGAAGTGCTCTGTGCATGTAAAAGAGACCTTATGGATGCTGTGCAAGCACTTGATGAACTGAACTGCATCCTCCACCTACAGGGTTTCTTTTCTTTTTTTTTGCTATTTTTTCTTTTCTAATTTTTGTTTATTTTTTAATATCAATTATAGTTTATTCATTTTTAATCCCACCTGTAGCCCCTTCCCTCATTCCCTCCCAATCCCACCCTCCATCCCTCATCTCCTCCCATGCCCCACTCCAAGCCCACTCATAGGGGAGGTCCTCCTCCCCTTCCCTCTGACCCTAGCCTATCAGGTCTCATCAGGACTGGCTACATTGTCTTTCTCTGTGGTCTGGTAAGGCTGCCCTTCCCACCCCCCTTGCAGGGTGTGGTGATCAAAGAACCAGCCACTGAGTTCATGTCAGAGACAGTCCCTGTTCTCATTCCTAGGGAACCTACTTGGATACTGAGCTGCCATGGGCTACATCTGTACATCTAAATTATCTCCATTCGTGGTCCTTGGTTGGAGTATCAGTCTCAGAAAATACTCCTTTGCACAGATTTCTTGGTTCTGTTGCTCTCCTTCTGGAGCTCCTGTCCCCTCCACATCTTTCTATCTCTCCATTCTTTTATAAGATTCCTTGTACTCTGCCCAAAGTTTGGTTTGGTATCAGCATCTGCTTTGATAAACTGCTGGGTAGAGTCTTTCAGAGGCCCTCTGTGATAGGCTCCTGTCCTGTTGCCTGTTTTCTCCCTCTTCCAACTTCCATCCTGTTTGCCTTTCTGAATGAGGATAGAGCATCTTACCCAGGGTCCTCCTTCTTGCTTAGCTTCATTAGGTGTACAGATTTTAGTATGTTTATCCTATATCATATGTCTAATATCCACTTATAAGTGAATATATACCATGTGTGCCTTTCTGCTTCTGGGATACCTTACTCAGGATGATCTTTTCTAGATGCTACCATCTGCCTCCAAATTTCATGAATTCCTAATTTTAATTGCTGAGTAGTATTCCATTGTGTAAATGTACCACAATTTCTGTATCTATTCCTCAGTTGAGGAGCTTCTGGGTTGTTTCCAGGTTCTTGCTATTATGAATAAAGCTGCTATAAACATGGTTGAGCAAATGTCCTTGTTATGTACTTGAGCATATATTTTAGATATATGCCTAGGAGTTTTATAGTTGGACTATTTCGTTTTGTCTTCTCAATTTTTTTTGAGATGAGGTCTCACTCTATAGCCATGTCTGGCCTGTAATCCTGGTGTATAACCTATCCATCTTGAAAATTCATGGCAAACCTCTTGCCTCAGCCTCCCAAGTGCTAGGACTACAGGCATGCACCACTGTGCCCAACTACCAAGCTCTTTAAAAACCTATGCTAACCCTGTCCCTTCTTGCAAAATTATTCCTCTCTTTCATCTTCATCCTTTTGTACCTGCTGTAATTCAAGGTCCAGTTTCAATATTACTTCCTAAGAAAAGCTCTCTCTATCACCCTCATAGGTAGGTGGTTTGGGCACATGATTACTTTTGTTAAAAAACTTGTCTTCAGAGGACAAGTACTATCTCCCTATCCTCTATGTATTCACAGTCACCAGTACAGTGCTGGCCATGTTGAGTGACTCAGCCCTGCACTTCCTATACCTCATACTTTCCCACATCTTCCAAGCACCTTTGTTATCCACAAAGCTCCTATTCTTTTCTGCCTTCTTAGTAGCTTGACAGAGATGCAACAAGACCAATTTATACTAACAGTCTAAAAGTCATCTAAAAGGAATGCCAGCACTATGGCATTTCCTTCCAGTTGACAGACATAAAGGCTTCCTTAGGAAGGGACTCCTGCCTAGAAGGTTCAGGCAGGAAAAAAAAAAAAAAAACCCAGTCTACGCAAACCAACAGTGCCAGCACCAATTTCTCATAGCGCATAGCCTAAGAGCTGGATCCAGGCCCCCAAAGAAAACTCACTCTTTTTCCGGTCACCTCCAACAGGGAGTTTGGAGGATGGGATGTATTTCAATGAAACCACCAACTCGCCTTTGTGTGCTGGCAAGCCAAGCGAGGAGTCAGCACTGATCTGAAACATAGGGAAACCCAACAAGTAAACTCAGGCCTCTCAGGAAATACTGGAACTTCATCCTTGAGAGGGTTATAAAGTTGTTCCCATAGGAGAGTGTGCTGATACACTTCTGTAATCCAAGCACTGGGGAGTCTGAAGAAAAAGGATCACTAGTTTGAATTTGGAATACACAGCCAGACCCTATATCAAAAATAAATTAAATAGATACAATTATCCTGGACAGGTTCTGGGCACAAGATGATCCCTCTTTCATGGCTACAATCCCAAAGCAGCTACATTTCCTTTGCTAGCCTCTTCAGAAGAAGATCCAGAAGAACCAAGGTACATTATTGTATACTCTGGGGATATGATTACTAGATTCCAAATGTTCCCAAAGGCATGCCAACAAGATGTCCATAGAAAATCAGAAAGGAATGAATGATATATGATTAAGAATCTACCAGCACTGTTAGTAAGAGCCAAAAAGTGGAAGCAATCTAAGTATCAGCGTACACAGGCAGGGTTAAGAGTGACTTTAATGCCTTTATGTGACATGTGGCATGAGGTTACCAGAAAGAACACAGGCTATCTCTGATAGCCCATGTGCAAGTAAAGAATGGTCACTGTAGAAAAGAAACCAGTTGGCTTTCCTGTCCTCAGTCATATCTTGAACATAATCTTCCTCTTATAATCCAGCTAGTTAAAATAGAATCCAGATGATTCCAGCCATGCTACCTGTCCTGGCTATGTGTCAATTGCTCCTAGAAGTTTTTTTTTTTTTATTATTTCAAATCCTGGTTGAATATAACACGTACTTAGTTAAATACCTATAAAAATATACATTAGACATGTTGGGTAAAATAAACCTAAATCTATATTTTCATTCTTATCCTAAAATAAGACTATACTGAATTTATGCGTTCTGAAATGGGAAATTATAAGATATATACTTACTGTTAGGTAAACAAAGCAAAAAGTAGAAGAAAATCTCACATTAAGTATAAACATAAAAGACACTTAAAAAAAGACACTAAAACTATATATGTGAACGACATTGTTATAATGCTTTCTATCACTGTCTCTAATTATTTGCATTTCTTATTTGTCAGATAGTGTTGCTAGTAGCATAAATATATAGTTAATATCTAATGTAATCTCCATGATATAGATATTACCCTCATTTTGTGGGCTATTGAATTAAAAAAAAAAACAGAGAGGTTAAATTCTGCAGACACACAACTAATAATTAGCAGACCTAGATTCTGATTCAGACTACCTGGTTCCAGAATCCATGCTTTTTACCACCAAACTGAATCAAACAATCAAAAATGATGCAGAAGAATCTAAATGTAGGGAGAACCGACTGGAAAAAGCAAAGAGACCTTTCCCTACTTTATATCATCATCAATAGTGTCCTATTTGTGAAAAAGAGACATATTTGCTTCTTAAAAATCAAAGTACTTTGATACCATGCTGGGTAGAGTCTTTCAGAGGCCTTCTGTGGTAGGCTCCTGTCCTGTTCCTCCCCCTGAGGGGAGGAGCAACCTTACCATGCCACAGGGGGAGACAATGCAGCCAGTACTGAGGAGACCTGATAGAAGAGAGTCAGAGGGAAGGGGAGGAGGATCTCCTCTATCAGTGAACTGGGGAAGGGGCATGGGAGGAGAAGAGGGAAGGGACGTGGGATTAGGAAGGGATGGGGGAGGAGGCTACAGCTGGGATACAAAGTGAATAAATTGTAATTAATAAAAAAATAAATTAATAAAAAACCCAAAGTACTTAAAAAAGGACCAGGGGTGTGTACTGGTTTCAGGAATACTTAAAAGCCTGCTACACAGATTTTAACATTTGACTGTTGCTTGTTTGTTCCAGTGTCAGGTATCAAGCCCAGGGCCTCATACCTGCTTAACCATATACCCTGCCTCTGAGATATGTCCTTAGTCCCCGACTTACATATTTTTAGCTCACAACTCTGTACCACTAGAATCTGCAGGCCAGAAGGACAGGAGTCAAGCTGTCTTTTGTTCATCCTAGAAAGGCTAACACTTAGCATAGCACCTAGTTGACTGAATGGATATAACAGTGAATAAAAACGAGTCAAGGACACAGAGCATGTAGCTCTGGGCAACAAAACTGCTTCCTCTCTTAGTTCACAGGGTATCACTTTCTTTATGCTCCAGATTTCTCCAGCACGAGCAGGCACTAACTAGAGATTTCCTTTCATCTGCCCTTTTTTTTTTTTTTTTTTTTGAGGCTGGGCATGTTGATACTGGGAGGCATAATCTCCTATGTCCATAGACATACTATATATCCAGAATACATACGCTTAGTCTGTGGGAAAGATAAAAAAGAAGTGGGAAGGAGTTGCCGGGAAGAGAAAACAAAGTGGTAGCACATGGATTGTTGGGGGAGGGTGTGTGTCAAGAACTCAGAAACATTAAATATAGATTATTTTAAGTTAAAAAGAAATATATTGTTTTTTTAATTTTAATTAAAGATTTAATATGTATAGCAAATATAGTTTACATATTAAATTAAATAACACTATAGTAAAATGATCTGATAGAGTTTTAAGTATAAGACATAAGGGGAAATTGTCAAGTTATTAAAATGTTCAGAGGAAGATAAAATGCTATTTTATTTCATAAGCTACACAGTTTATTAACTCCTAGACTGTTGACTTTAACGAACTCTTAAAAATCCAGTGTTTAGTATTGATTAGAACCTGGAAGGCTTATTAACCTAGCACATTTTCAGTCTGCTGAAAATATTTCCAAAGAGCAAATACTTCCATTTTAATAGAAGACTCTTTTTGGTGGTAATTTATAGTAGTTTACAGTGACATTTTCAATATAATTATAGAAACTCCAAGCCACTGGGAGAATGATTTGCATGCCAAATTCTTAAGAAATTCTAAGGCTCTAAAAGCATGTTTTACTTTGATAGTAATTGCTTTTCTGTTTTTATGTCTATTTAAAGTGGAAACATGTATTGTCACTAACATTTTCTGGAAGGCAATACCCATCAAATTACTAGAGGAGTAATTACTCAGCTATGTTGCCACTAGGGTAATTTCCTCTGACAATTACTTTCCCTAAAGAAGGCCAAGATAAGGGGTTCATCAGTACAGCACTTGTTTAGCATATATAATTCTCTAGGCTGGATCACCAGTACTGAAAAAAAATAAAGGAAAAAATATACAACAGCATAATTTTAAAATATAACAATTAAAGTACCCAGTAGTAGGGGTCTGGTAAATCAATTTATAATATAATAACGTGAGAGAATATTATGTAGCAAGTAGCATGATACAAATCTGTAAATGATGATATAAAGGGATACCTATGGTAAATTGTTAAAAATCAATATACATATTTTTCAAAAGTATACACACATATATGAACAACAAGGCTTTTATAAAGTCACTTGGGTCAAAAAAGAATATTATATATGTGTATGTATAGGTGTTAGATAGATGATGAATTAATATCTGTGCTGCTTAATATAGAAATTCTAGAAGGATACTTAAATACTTGTTAAGAGTGGCTATTTCTAAATAATGCAATTTACTTTCTCTTTACATACTTTTTGTTATTTTAATTTGGAACCATGTATATAAAGGTCATTTTGCACTTAATATTTTTAACAGGGTAAAAAGTCAAAAGTTTAAACAAACACATAAACATAAAAGACTAATAAAATGGAACAGAAAAAAGTAAATCTCTCTTCCACATTAGATTCACTTCCTAAAGACTGCCCTATTCTGAGTTTCTAGACCATCTTTACAAATATATTCTATATACTCTGCATTGTTTGAAATATTCAAAAATGTTATTATAGCTTTTAAGTGTTTTTACCTTTGATTTGTTGTGATAAATAGGAAGTTGCTACCTAAAGTTCTCTGATGTAGCTATTTAACCAGAATGACAATAAGCTATGGAATTGATATTACGTGCTACACACTAAAGGATGTCCTGCATTCAGTCCCACAACAGGATGTAGCACTTTTCTCTCATTTTGTAGAAGGCTAATCTGAGGATCGCAGAAGGTAGGTGAAATTGCTATATTATCAGTAAGTCACAGAAGCAAGATTCTAGTCCTCATCTGTACCAAGCAACTGATCATTATGACGCCACCTTACTATATTATCATCTGGGTGCCATCTCTAAAGTCACATTCCTCTGGCTTGTGCACAGAATCAAGAGGACAGCCATTGCAGACCCATCGACTGTTTTGCTTCTCGCTTCTAAAGCAGCTAGTTTGGCTTAAAAAGAGGTGCAGATTAGAAAGCATTGCAAAGGTTAGATTTGAGAGGAGGTACAATTTAGGATGTCAGGATACATTCAGGCTCTAGAAGGTGAGCAGAAAAGCTTGGCATGCTGTAGCTTCCTGCTTTGCCTGGCTTATGCAGAAGAAATTGTTCCTGCTTAAAATATGCAGGGGCCTCTGAAACTGCTGCCAAATTCAGAAAGGCCAGCAGGATGCAGCAAAACTCTACAGACAACTTCATGCAAAGCTACTTCCAATACAAACCAGCAGAGGCCACTGCAGACAATCCTCCTGGAGAACTGTGAAAAGACCTTTAAAGCAGACTACCTTTCCATGCAAAGGCAGGCAATGATCCAGCTTCTTATCCAGCTTCCAAGAGTCCATGTGGACTTCCGCCTCTCCTAGGAAAGTGTTTCTGCCAAAACGGCCATGATGCCAAACAGAGAACTGCAAAGTCCTCTGAGCCAGAAGAGACTCTGAAATCACATACTGTAGAGGGAAAGAAGCAGCCCAAGGTGGCCAGTTAGAACTCACAACTCAAAGCTTAATTCTTCCAAACCCATAGTGACCTGTCCCCATGGTGTGTAGTTCAGGGTATAAAGAGGTTTTAGGGGGCTGGAAAAATGGCTCAGAAGTTAAGAGCACTGACTGTTCTTCCAAAGGTCCTGAGTTCAATCCCAGCAACCACATGGTAGCTCTCCACCATCTATAATGAGATCTGGTGCTGTCTTCTAGTGTGCAGGTAGAAAACCGTACAAATAAGAAATAAATCTTTAAAAGGGGGGTTTTAGTTCCTAAGCACTTAAAAATTTTCTACTCAAAGCTTCAATGTCACTTTCGCTAACCCTGACACAGTCCATAAGAAACCAGAGAAAATTAAGTATTCCTTGAGTCAAAGGACACAAGAATATCTACAAACAATTGCCAAAGAGACACATTACCTCAAATTACTTTTAAAATTTTTATTACATTTTACTTTTTTATGTGTGTATTTATGTGGGTACATGAATATCATGTGTATATATGTGGGCACAAACATGCCATGGCATGAGTATGGAGATGAGAGGCCAGCTTGCAGGAGTCAGTTGTCACTTTCTACCATGTGAGTCACCTTTATGGAACTCAAATAACTTCTTTTTTTAAGTTTATATTTATTTTCTTTTATGTGAATATGTGCCTGAGTATATTTATGTGCAATGCATGCACGTAGATGCCCACCAACGCCGAAAGATGACATTAGGTCCCCTGGAGCTGGAGTTATAGACAGCTGTGAGCCACTGTGTGGGTGCTGGGAATTGAACTCTGTTTTTTTTCAAGAGCAGCTAGTACTCATAACTGCAGAATCATGTCTCCAGGACCTCAAATGACTTCTTATAATGAGCTTTGTGGCCATGTGAATGTCTAACTTCAAAACAATGCAAGGAAGCCAAATTCACCTTTGTTCTCTTTCCCCAAAGGGTGAGGATGTGGAACACATGCTCACCACGACTCTGTGGGCAGGCATGGTCTTGCAGCCATGTTGAGGAGGCAAATCTACATGACAAAGACACAAAGCCTTCTCCACTCTAGGTTCAGATACATACCCTAAAGGTCTCATCATATAGTGGGTTGATGGTGTCCCGCTTGATGCTAGTTTTTCTTTTTCCCTGACGGGATTTGTCAGGCAGAAGATAAGTCTTTACATATCTAGAAATGAAGCACAACACTAAATTACTTGCTAGACTTTCTCAAGCCTCCCCCCCTTTTTATTACTTTCCTGCTCGGCATATGATGAGATACTATGTCAAAAATTTCATGTTTGCCTTTTCCAAGTCCTAAGCCCTTTATTATATCACATCTCACTATTATACCCCTAAAGACGTGATAATTTTGGCTCAAGAGTACCCGGGTAGATTCCAAAGTCTACTTTCTCCTGTCAGAATATTAGTCAGGTCCCAGAGGCACTCACGGGTTAGAACACTTCTTGGCTTCATCAGCATAGGCCAACTGGTGGCACTCCTTTACATGGATGATCAGAGTCTGCGTTTTCTGCTCAAACTTGAGTGAAAAGGCAATCTTGCCAGTAACAGAGACGTTCCCAAAATCACCAGCTTCACTATAGATACTCATCATGCTTCCAATGGTACTCTGAGGGTAGAGCAATTACAAATGTCTAAGAAAGACACACTCCACATCTGAAATTTCTCACATTTTCCTCATGATAAAGCCAAAACTCTCAGAAAGGCCTGCAAGGATCCAGGACTACCAACAGTCCTTTACCTAGAGGGTAAGTCACTGCCAGTAGCACATCCATAATTGTTTGGATTAGTAGTGCACCTCCTGGCTCACACAGATTATTAGTGTCTGTTTCTTCCTCATTTTACACAATCTAGTGATAATTTTCCCAATCCGTAGGATGATGAAAAGGAGTAGGGAGGTAAAGTATGCTATCCATCTGCGGTGGGTGTTACGTATGTTGCAACATTGGCTAGAAAGTGTTAGTTCCCAGTTTTAAAGGGGGCCTTAATTGTCTGCATTCTATCTAGCAGTATCTAAAGAGGAAAGAGATTGGATCAGAACTGAGAGAAGCAAGAGAACCACCACACAAATACAAAAGTTCTCCTTTCTCTGGTAGCAGTCAGGTATATGAGGTGAGCCCTACAGTTTCTTCCAGTGTGAGTGTGAAAGTCTAATTACTCTTCCTCCCAAATCTGTTCGTCTAAATAGCAATCTTTGTACTTATGATAGATATTAGCTCTGATTAGAATGTTCATGAGGCTGTTTTGTATTGATCCCTATCCACACTTTGACGTCCACCTAGCAAAGATCTTTCCCATGATGACTTTAGTGTGAGAATAGGGAGCAGCTTAAGATAAAGAAGTCTAGTTTTGTTTACTTCATGGCCTGGTTATTCTTTCAGAGGAGTTACAATTTATTTTCTCAAACCTGTGGTGAAAGAATGGCCAGAGCCTTCACTAGCTCTTGGAGACTCTCCAAGAGCTCTCATCCAGAAGTTACACTGGGCACCTAAGCTCTAACATGAGGACAGGAACAAACAAATGCATGCCCGTTCCCTAGGAAGAGTGACTAGGGTAATTTCCCTAGGTCCTGAGTCTGCTCTAGGAAGGCTGGCTCTTCTGTCCTTCCTGGTGTCTCAATGAGTCTATAAGCACAAATGCATAGGACATACCATGGAGGAGCCACTCTGCATGCTGCCTCTGGCTAGTTTCTGGCGATGCAGCTTCACCAGGTGGTCAATATCCTCTTCTTCCTCTTCCTCTTCCTCCTAGAACAATGCAGACTTGAGAGTTAATAAAAGTAAGGTTCAAAAACTAATGTCTTTCCTTCAGTGAGGACCAAAGTTGGGTACAAAAGCTCTGAGTTTTCATGTGAATATATATGCACATATCCTTTTAAAAATATTTTTTCATATCTCAAAAGAATACAAGTATTTAATATTTTCATGGGAGTTTTATAACTCTCCCATTTGAATACCCCAGTCTAGCCATATTTTAAATCTTACTATTATTGTTGTTTTTATTATGTATATATACTGTTATTATTATTATTATTATTATTATTATTATTATTATTATTATTATTGTGTATTCAGCCATGCATATACAATGGCATGCATAAGGTCTAATAGCAATTTAGGATGTCAGTTCTCATCTTCCACCTTAATTGTGGGCTCCAGGGATCAAACTTGGGCTGTCAGGCTTTCGCAGCAACTGCTGCTGCCCCATCAATCATCTTGCTGGTCCTCTCTTTATATTTTAGCCAAAATAAGTGTATGTTTGAATAGCCATCCATATACCCAACAATGTAATAAATATCAAGTGACAGCAAAGACAGTTTTTTGGGCAACTCAGGAGCTGGTACTACTTCAGAAATCGGGGGAACTGTGGGTCATTTCAACTTTCCTAAAGAATTAAACAATTTGCATATAGGAGTATTTACCATATCCACACTGAGGCCTGGCACAGATTTGCTTCTGTCTCCCAGGATGCCACTTTCTTGTGCCACATCTTCTGGGCGAAGGTCTATCACAGACTTAGTGTATTCTACATGAAAGACCAAAAAAGTAAAGAAAAAGAAACCTATTGTACTCCATACCAAGAGCCAAGCAAAAACACTCAGAACATGAGCCTGTGTATCCATGAAGGAAAGGCTACCTGAAGGCCTCAGGATCTTTCTGGTGTTCTTCTTGAAGATCATGTCGCCCTCATCAACAGAGACTGCATTTTGGCTCCCTGGCTGGGTTTCCTCAGAAGAAATAAGGAAAAAAGATATGGAAAAAGACCTGTAGGTAGACCAAAGAAGGAAGGAAAGGACACTCACAAGCAGCTTATGGGTCAGACTTTAAGCCAACCATGACAAACTTAAAGAAAAGATTAATAGAGAACCCATGGTCACACACATTTCAGCCAAGACCTTTGAAATGTTTCTATACAAATCGGACACAAATTTTTAGTTGAATTCCAGAATTGACATATGAAGACAGGGGCAGAAGGAAGGAGAGAGGGAGGGAGGGAAAAAGGGAAGGAGAAAGGTGGGGGAGAGGAAGGGGAAGAGAAATAAAACCAACGGCCTGCAATTTACCTTTTCGACTTGGAATTTGGGAGCAGACATCTTCTTCCATTCCGGGAAGAGTCCAGATTTATCCAGAGAATCTCTCCTGGAAGTATCAGAAATTAGAACTAAATAATTTCTTCCCCTTTCTCTTCTAGCCAGCTCCCCAAAGCTCTAGCAAAGAAGGAAAGTCACTGCTATGATTATAGCAACCAGATTAAGAAGGCTCATTTCACATCTGAGACACTTTGAAGGAGGACAGAAGATCAGGCAAACAATTCTGCACACACATACAAATGCTCATACCCCCTTTCCTAGGGGACAGGAGGAGAATCCACCACTGAGTAGCATCCAGGGGAGGTTAGCTCACTCCAGGAAGCTGTGCTCAGAGTAAAAGCAATAGAAGTACTAATAAAGAGAGACTTCTGGTGAGGGTAAGAGAAAAGATTCATTCAGCAGGCCAAGGACAGAAACTAGGAACACTCAAGGCAGAAGAAACCTTCATCCTGATGGCAGAGAACAAAATGAGAGCTCAGCATAGGCAGAAGAGAAACAGATGGGGAAACTCCACCTGGGGGTGCTATATGAATCAGCTGTGTAGCTATCCAGGCTCTCGCTCTCAGCCTCCAGCGTGCTCTTTCCACTTTTCAGTTTTGGCACCTCAAACAGCACACTAGAATAAAAACCAAGATGCAGTGTTTTACAGGAAGTAAACTCTTTTGCCTCTGGATACGTATCTTTCCAACTGATTCAAGTAGTAATCTGAGCGATATTTTGAACATAAATGTAAGTCAATTTTACAGTGGAGGGAAGAGTACCTAGGGCCTCAGAGGTGCTAAGCAAATACTCTACCACTGAGTTGCATCCCCAGCCATGTGAACAGACTTTGCAAACACTTAAGTCATTCCCAATTTTGGGGACACTGAGTTCAAACTCCTTAGCAGAAAATGAAGCTTGTAATGAAAAACCTCTTCTTAGGATCTCCAGGTTAATCTTTCAATCTTCACTCCTCTTTACATTCTACATTTCAGAAGATTAACACCTCCATCTTTCTAAATATCCCAGACCAGTCCTTCTTTCTATGCAGACCAGGCTAACCTCGAACTCACAGAGATCCACATGGCTATGCCTCTAGAATGCTAGGATTACAGGCCTGCAATACCATGCCTGGCAGTAATATTATACACTTTTCCTCTGATTTTTTAAGTATTTGTTCATTTATTTCTTTTATGCACATTAATGTTTTGCCTGTGTGTATGTTTGTGTGCCATATGTCTGCCTGGAGCCCATGGAGGTCAGCAAGAAGGCACAGGATTCCCAGGAACCAGAGTTACAAATGGTTGTGAATCACCAAGTAGGTGCTGGAAACTAAACCCAAGTCTTCTGCAAGAGGAACAAGTGCTCTTAACAGCTGAGCTATCTCCCCAGCTTCAAATAGCATTAGTCTTACTATCCAAAAGTTATAAATAATCCAAATGTTCATCTACAGATAATGGGATAACCAAACTATTGTATAGCAATGCAAACAAAGGAATATTGTTCATCCACAAAAGATTATAAAGCTGTAATATCTGCAGCAACATGGATGGATATTGAAAACTTTATGCTCACTGAAATAAATCAATCAGAATGTCCACACTTGGCATTAGTTGATTCAGATGATAAGTCCAGGGTATGTGAATACAGAGAGGTAGATTATAGATTGAAGGCTGGGAGAAATAGCAGTGGCTAGTTAATTTTACAAGGTTTCTTTTTGGAATGATAGGAATGTTCTGAAAATTGATAGCTGTGACCTTCTAACAATGATAGAATCAAACTTGTCAAAATTAAAAGTGGTTTAATACTAAGTGAATTTTACCTCAGTTTTTTAAACAACAACAAAAGAAGCAACCACCATAACATTGGTTCTCTCAAAATAAATTACAGTCTTTACATAGGTCAAGAAAATCTTACATGACTGGATTCTCTCCATTTCTGTGCCTATTTCCTTGCACAACCACCCCTTACTCAACTCCAGATTACACGTGTGTGAAACTCATTCTGGGTTCTTTTTTTAAGGTTTATTTATTTATGTATATGAATGGTCTGTTTTCATGCAGAGGGAATCAAATTCCATTGTAGATGGTTATAAGCCACCATGGGGATGCTATAAACTGAACTGAGGACCCCTGAAAGAGCAGTCAGTGCCCTTAACCTCTGAGCCATCTCTCCAGCTCCTCATTCTGAGTTATTTATACCTGCTGAGTTTTCTGTCTACAATGTTCTTCCCCTCCAAATATTCTCCATGTTTCCCCCTGCATTTTTTTTCAAATGTCACCTTACAATTTAGGCTTTGCCTAAGGGAACCAGCACATGTACACACATGTGTCCCTGGTACTCTGTATCCCTTCACTCCAGTTGATTTTCTCCATTACAGTTGTCAACATCTGACAGACTACTTATTTGGTTATTTGTTTTTTATTTGCGGTATGTGCTCCCTACCAACAAATCTATAATCTACGAACAAGGGGCCTTTTTGTATCTACAACAGTATCCCAGTACATAAAAATATCTGGCACACAGTAAGCCTTCACATATATTTAACAAACAAATTAACAAGTAAATCTATAATGTCTCATCCAGTGGAGAATGAACTTTCCAGCTTGTCAGGTGATGTTTGAGATAGATATGTGCAAACAGAAGGAGCTGAGTTGAAATCTTAGTGTATACAGGAGGTGAAACTGAGGTCATTTTTGACAAATGTACTACCTTTATCATAGAAGGCACAGCAAGGTGCTTGGTTTTCTTTTCCTTAGTTTAAAATTATTTTTCGTCCCCTTCACTGCAAAGGGAAAACTAACTTCAAACAGAATCATTCCTCTAGAGACACTGTTTAACAATGGCCTGTGGAGTGTTTGGTGCTTGGATTTGTTTTTTCTCCCCTAAAGATGAATAAGTTCTGATCCTGAGCTGATGCCAACAACCATAGGGCAAAAAAGCAATTATTTGACATCTGTTCAGTAAAAATAAACTCAGAGATAGGAGTCCTGGTCTTTATCTCTGTGATCTCAGGTAAATCATTTAGCCTGGTTTCTTTTCTATAAAAATAAAAGGGTTGAATTAAATTATCTCTGAGGCACAAAAATTTTATGTAAAAATCACTTATGTTCTCTCAATCTATTTTCATGTTTATAATAAATAAGGTGCTTCTCAATCCAATGAGACAAGAGGTCTCAGTCAGCCCAGAAGCAATAGATTTCAGAAATTACATTCTGACCAGTGATGTCAGATGCATTAATCAAATTCAGCAAATAAAAGCCATTTTTAACCTTAACTACCGAGGAATAAAGGGGCCTCATCACCTGGAACAGATGACTCATACATACAAGGCCCTGATAAAATCATAGTACATATATATACATTCAAGCAGCACACAAACATAAAAACGAGCAAAGTGCTCTGGTGTTGGAAAAGTGTCTGTGTTGCAGGTTTCTGCTGTTTTTAACTAATTGACACAAATAAGCTGTACGTGCTTAATTACACATGCTGATGATTTCTGGCAAAAGATATGCACTTCAAACACTACTGTTATAGTTTAGTTAAGGAAGATATTAATCACTCGCAAAGTGTCTACATGCCCGTCTACTTCCCCTTCTTGCCCCTGTTTCCAGACAAATGTTGATCTAGTTCTGCCACTAAAAAATTAGTTTGTGTTTTCTGGAAATGTATGTAACAGAATCACACAGACACATAGAGTAGGTACTCTTTTTTTGTTTTATTCTGTTTTTTGTTTGTTTGGGGGTTTTGTTTTGTTTTTGTTGTTTGTTTGTTTGTTTTGAAGCATGGTATCACCATGGAGTTCTGGCCAACAGGGAATTTGCTATGTAGATAGGCTGGCCTTAAACTCACAGGGATCCACCTGTCTCTGGCTCTCTGGCTCTCTCTGCCTCTCTCTCTCTACCTCTCTGACTCTACCTCTAACTGCTGGGACTTAAGGTTTGTATCACCACACTCAGAACATAGGTACTTTTTTGTTTAGTGCTTTTCACTCAACATATGTACTTTGAGATCCATTCATGATACTGCATTATCAACAGTTTGTTCCTTTCATTAACAGATTAGTATTCTGTGGCATAAACAAACCACAGTTTATCCATTCACCTATTGGTGAGCATTTAAACTGCTTCCAAGTTTCAGCTATCATGAATGAAGCTATCGTATACATAATAAACCCCAAAGACACCACTGGATATCTTTTAAAAACTGATAACCACATTCAGCAAGGTGGCAAGATATAAAATTAACACATAAAAGTCACCAGTCTTTCTACATATAAATTTCAAGCAAGCTAAAATAGAAAATAGTTTCAGTCATAATAGCTTAAAAATACCCTGGAATAAACCTAACCAAGGATGTGAAAGACTTCTACAACAAAAACCTTAACACACTGAAGAAATTAATTGAGGACATTATTAGAAGATGGAGAGAGCTCCCAGAAAAAAAATCAATATTGTGAAAATGGCTATTTTATTAAAAGCAATTTACAGATTCAAATAATCCCTGGTGACAGCCTTCATAGAAATAAAGAGAAAAAAAAAATCTAAAAATTTACTTGAAAGCATAAGAGACCCCAGTAGCCAATCATGGACAAAAAGCATACAGTTGGATGTATCCCTATATCTGATTTTAAGTTAAACTACAGAGCCATAGTAATAAAAACCACATGGCACTGTCACAAAAACAGACTCATAAGGCAAAGAACTTGAATCTAGGACTAGGCCATACAACTACTTCATTCCTTTTCTGATAAGCTTCCATGGTATTGGAAGGTACTATTTAGGTCACTGGGAGAAAAAAAGAAGACACCAGAGGTATTCCTGAAGCCAACCCTACATGCTATAACCCATGGTTCAGCAGGTCTGAGGACCTAGGGCAGTGGTTCTCAACCTGTGAGTTATGACCCCTTTGGGTAAAACAACCCTTTTACAGGGGTCCTCTAAGACCATCCTGAATATCAGATATTTACATTATAATTCATAACAGTAGCAAAATTACAGTTATGAGGTAGCGATGAAAATAATAATTTTATGGTTGGGAATCAGTACAACATACAAAACTATATTAAAGGGTCACAGCACTAGGAAGGTTGAGAACCAACACCTTAGGGAAAAGCCTGTTGTTTTGGTAAATGACATGTTGTCAAACTGCTTTCTAAGTTTTTATACTTACACCCATAAATTAGTGCTGCCTTCAACTTTGGCCAAATAAGTTTCTCTATGAAGTGGTCAGTGTTTAATACAGAGGGTTATAATCCATCAAAGTACTGAGAATAAGTGTCTATTGAGTGCTTTGCCCTAAAAACAACACCTGTAACAACTGTCCTCCCATCCCCCACCAAGACTCAGGGAACATCACAGAAGGGTGAAAAGAATGTAAGAGCCGGAGGCTGAGGAAGACTATAGTTAAGGCTATGTTGGGGACATGACATGGCTACTGCACCACCCACATACTAACTGCAGCTATGATTATCTATACAAGTTAAAGTATACAAAAAATATGATAAAATGCAAGAAGAAAAGTAGCTTTGCTAGCATAGTATCATGTAACATGTCTGATTTGTGTCATTATTATTAGTATACCATGTTTGGTTTTATAGATTATATCTTTAGTTGCTGAAATTGCTTTAATTGTCGTTTTCCAATGTTTTATAAATGCAAAATAATTATAATTAATTCTTTGATGAACTACTTAAAATATGTGTGTGATGTGCACGGGTGTATAAATGTGTAGGCACAAGTGTGTGGGGTTATTTTGTGTGTGTGTGTGTGTATGTGTGTGTTCAACCAACACTGATATTGAGTATTCTCCTTGATCCCTCTCCTCCTCATATACTGAGGCAGGGTATCTGGCTAACATGGGGAACCATCATCTTGCTATGGGATTCTTTGTAAAAGCCTCCTCAACTGCTACACCAAACCAACTATTAAGTGGATTTGAAGGACATAAACTCTACTAGGGCAGTAAGCCCTTTACCAACTGAGCTATCTCTCCAGGCCCATACATTAAAATACATTTCAATTTTAGGTCTGGGAATATAATTCAGTAGAAGAATACTTGCCTGGCATATGTGAGGCCCTAAATTCAATTCCCAGCACTCACAAAATCCTTATTGTGTTTAAAAATAAATGAAACTTCTATGAATATATATATATATGTATATATATATATATATATATATATATATATATATGTGTGTGTGTGTGTGTGTGTGTGTGTGTGTGTGTCTTTGAATGGACATATGCCTTGACTTACATATCTATGAAACATCTGAATCACACAGTAGCTGTACAGTGAACTTCTAAAAGACTAGACTTTTTGAGAGCAGATGACTATGGTACATTTCTCTAAAGAAATTACTTAGAATTCTAGTTTTGCATCCAGAACTTGGTATAGTCAAGATTCTGGTTAGCATGTGACATCTCATTGTTATTTTATTTGTATTCTAGTGATTGATAATGTTGAACATCATTATTCAACATCTGCATAGTATCTTTAATGAAATATCTGTTCAGATATTTTGCTCTATTTCTATGGGATTATCTGTATTACTGTTTTTAAAGTTCTTTTTCTTTAATTTTTAAGTTGAACATGACCATAATGTAATCTTTTTAAAAACAATTAAAATGCAGGAGTTTAACTCACATGCATGTGTATGGAGGTCTTGGTAGTTTACATGCTGAAATTATCAATGAATATTAACAGTGTTGGACAAATAAAATTATGTTACTGGAGGAATTAACTTTCATGTTTCTGTATACTTCTTTTTAACTTTGGTTTTAATATATAGCTCAAAGTGGCCTCAAGCTTGTGGTCTTACAACAGCCTCACAAATGTCTACAAATACAGGCATGTGCCACCAGCTCAATACTGGTTCTTTTTTATTTTTACTTTTTTCACAACTTATTCATTATATATCCCGATTGAAGCCCCTCCCTCCACTCCTCCTGGTCCCACCCTCACTCCCTCTTCCCCCTATCCTCTTCCACTAGTCCAGTGAAAGGGGGGGGTGTCCTCCTCTGCCATCTGCCACAGCTTATCAAGTCTCATCAGAGCTGCATGGATCCTCTTCCTCTGTGGCCTGGTAAGCCTGCATCACCAGGGGCAAGTGATCAAAGAGCAGGCAATCAAGTTCATAACAGAAGCAGTCCTTGCTCTCTTTATGCAGGAACCCTCATGGAGACTGAGCTGCCAATCTGCTACATTTGATCTGGGGGTCTAAGTCTTCTCCACACATAGTCCTTAGTTAGTTAGTACATCAGTTTCTGCAGAAGCCCCTAAATTAAGGATTTTTAGCTTTGTTGGTCTCCTTGTGGGGATCCTGTCCCCTCTGTGTCCTTCTATCCACCCCCCTCTTCTTCCATAAGACTCCCTCGCGCTCTGCCCAAGGTTTGGCTGTGAGTCTCAGTATCTGTTTCCATGCACCCTTAGGTAGGCCTTTCAGAGGACCCTCTATAGAAGACTTCCATTCTGTTTCCTCTTTTCCACCGCTTCTGGTATTTATCCTGTTTGCCATTCTGAATGAGATTTAAACACCCTCCCTAGGGTGCCCCTTAGTGTTTAGCTTCTTTGGTGTGTAGATTTTAGTATGACTATCCTATATTATATGGCTAATTTCTGCTTGTAAGTGACTGTATATCATACTTGTCTTTCTCTTTCTGGGTTACCTCACTCAGGATCATCTTTTGGTTCCATCTATTTGCCTGTAAATTTCATGAAAGGAAGAAAGAAAAAGAATGGCCCAAACCCAAATAACACGAAGGGAAAGAATAAGCCGGGGTCTTAATGGCTAATAGCTTCCCTCTTTCTCTTTTGCTTTTGCATAATACAGTTTTTAAATTTAATTTGTATTTTTTCTATATTAATTACAGTTTATTCACTTTGTACCCCAGCTCTAGTCCCCTCCTTCACTCCCTCCCAATTCCACCCTCCCTCCCTCATCTCCTCCCTGCCCTTTTCCAAGTCCACTGATAGGGGAGGTCCTCCTCCCCTTCCATCTGACCCTATCTTATCAGGTCTCATCAGAACTGGCTGCATTATACAGTTTTTAAAACATTATAGAAAGAATGGAAAATGAAATCCAATATTGCTGAGGTGGTGCCCCTAATGAACAAAACAGGACAAATGTTTAAGGGCATGGTACAGAACATTCCAACTCTAAAAATTTCATCAAAAGTAAATCATATATCAGAAAAGTACAGAATAATCATCATTGGCTTATATTTTTAAGTTACTAACTTCAATTTTTTTTCATTAAATCCAATTATATCAATATAAATTCTCATACCATGCACACCTATATGAGTGTTTATATGTATAAACACAGAGTTACCTGCAATGCTTTTTTCATAGTTAGATTCAAGACAACAGGGACACATCTACAACAGTCCAAGAGAAAGAAAACATAACTCAAGTCTATAATGCTGAGCTAAGATGCTATTAAAGTACAAATGTAGTTGGCAGGCATTCTGAACATGAAAGAATGCAATAAACGTCAGAAACCCTTCTAGAAGAAACTTCCCAATGATGAAATCTAGAAAACCAAGAAATAAAGCCAAAGTAAAGAATTCAAGAGTAGAGAAGTCATGATGTGAGGCCTGGTTATAAGCAAACAATATGTATAAATATGAAACTAAAACTAAACCAGTTTTAAAGTTCTGTTGATTTATGGTTGTCTAACAGAAATAAAACATCAAAAATCCTGAAAAAATAATTTTTAGTAACAAACAGTGCGAATAAAATAAAATATTTGGGAGGTGTAGAAAATTAATATAGGACTGAGAAGATGAAGCAGCTCCATTGCTAAGGATTCATATTGCTCTGGCAGAGAACCCAAGTTCAGTTCGCAGCACCCATGTCAGGTGGCTCAAACTGCCTATGAGCCCAACTCCAGGGTATCTAACATCTTTCTGGTCTCTGCAGGCACGTGCACACATGTTCACATACCTGCAAACAGACACATAACTTTTAAAGTAAATAAATCCGTGTCAAGAGTTGATAGCTTTCTTTTTCACAGCAGACTGTGGCATAAGAACAAAGTGAAATGGCCAAAATGTTGATACTTGCATGGGGCTAATGGTTACAGGATTGATTTTTTTTCTTCTTTGGGTTTTATCTGTGCTTTCCAATTTCCCCCTAATAATACCTGTTATTTTTAGAAAAATGGAGTAAAAGTAGTAGAAGAATTAAATAATATTAATTCCTTGGCTCTCACCTGGGCTCCTTCTGCTGTTCCTGAATGATCTTTCTTCCTGGCCAGATATCACCCATCTGTGTCTGCTGAAGAAGGGACTGTCCCACTGTCTCTCTTTTATTTGCTTCAAAACAAAAGCATGGCAGGATAGTAATAAAGAGGCAAGGAAGGAAACAACTTTCAAAGCATCTCCCCCCAAACACACACTTGCACATGGGACAGAAATATCCTTTTATATTCCCACAAACTGGCTGAGCCCCAGGAGTTAAGTCACTACCAGAATACAGAATACAGTTGGATTTCCCACAAGCCTAGCTATTCCTGAGGTTAAGTCCTTCAGGGAACAGCCTCTGTTCTGGCACAATACCTGCAGGCTTACGGCGCAGGGACATCCTGATTATCTCACTGCCTGTTCGGTAAGCAAAGCGGTTTACTTTCTGGTCATAAAACCAATCTCCAGTTGCTTTCTTCAATTCTCTGGGGAAAATAAAATAAAATGTCAGATGTATTGTACTGGATGGTTTTGAGTGTCAACTTGACCCCGCTAGACTCATCAGAAAGGAATGAGCCTCAGTTGAGGAAAGCCCTCCATGAGATCCAGCTGTAAGGCATTTTCTCAATTAGTGATCAGTGGAGGAGGGCCCAGCCCAAATTGGGCGGTCCTGGATCCTATGAGATTCAGAGCAAATGAGGGAGGGGGAGCTACAGCTGGGATACAAAGTGAATAAACTGTAATTAATATAAAACATAAAAATAAAAACATTAAAAAACAAAAAGAGAGAGAAGGCAGGCTGAGAAGCTATGAGGAGCAAGTCTGCAAGCAGCACCTTGCCATGGCTTCTCCATCAGTTCCTGCCTCCAGGTTTCTGCCCTGTTTGAGTTCCTATCCTGACTTCCTTAATAATAAATAGCAATGTAGAAGTATATGGAATCTTTCCTCCCCAATTTGTTTTTTAGTCATGGTGTTTTGTCACAGCAATAGAAACCCTAAGACACGTCTTAATAATGACTCTTGCCATTCACCTAACAAAGTTAATGAGAAAAATTCACAGGAGAGTCCCACCGATCTCCCCTCTTTACTAGGCCATTAAGTGACACTCACATTTCCTTGGTGCACACCTTGCACCTCCAGGAACCATTGCTTTCCAGGATGCGGCAGTCTCGACACACTAAATGATTACAACCCGCACAAGTGTTGCTCTTGGGAATCAGGCGGCCCAGGCCTTCCTGGCACCTGGCACAGGTTCTGTCACTGTAGTGTTGGCTGCCCCTTTTGGCACCTTTTCTTTTTATCTCCAGTAGCTCATTCTTCAGTCGTCTGCCAAGACCCAAAAGAGAAGCACAAGTGGGTTCAGGATCTACACATGTTGAGGTAATGGTAGTCAGATCACTGGGTTCTGTAAAAGCAAAACCTCAAATCCCAACTAGACCCACTAAGCTTTAAAATCATATACATAATTCTCACAGTAGAATAAGCAACTGAAAAGCTTGGGTATCCTTGGTTGAAAACTTGGAAGTGCATACTATTTCTGGGACTCTTACCTAATCCTTTTCTCATCTGCTTTTCTGAGTTCTTCATCTCTTTGCAGAACACTGATGATCAAATCCCTTTCCATATCGGACAGAAAAGAGAGGTCTAGTATCTCTGACATGATGTCTTTACTCTTCTTTCTTCAAGACAACCTCGCAAGGAGAGTGAACAGAGCTGTCTAAAATAAAAGAGCAATTAATTCCATAAAGATGATTAAGTCCTGAATCACTGTAGAGCCCTAGAACCTCTCTCCAGGCTACCTTCTCTTTGAGTCAAGTTAAAGAGGCAAAGTAAAAGAACCTGCTATTTACTATTTCTATTTCAAACTTGAACCATGGCCTACAATTATTTTTCAAGAAATTACTCACAACTCTGGAGAGTGGCTGGGTTACTATGAATAAGCATCTTAGTCAAGAAATATCATAGAATAGCTAAGTCAAACTCTCCCACCACTATAGAGGTCTCAGTCATCCAACTTTTATTATTTCAAGTGTTCTTACCTCCCAATTTTATTAACTCAAATAATCAGGAAGGTGATCTCTGTATTAAAGGGTGCTAACCAGTTTCAGCTAAATTCTCCCTTCCTGACTGGGTCCTATGTTCCTGGAATTTAGTCAGCTTTCTAATAATGCTTCAAGAGATTCTACCACCCCCACTACCTCCCTAATAGCTGGTACTGGCCCTGCACTTGAGAACAGCTTCTCCCGTTTCCTGAACATTTGTTGAGTACCACACTGTGAAGTACTTTGCAAAGCACTGGAGATAGAGAGATGAGTGAACCATGGTCCGTACATTTCAGAAATTTACAGACACGAACACGGTACTTTGTGGTAACTGCTATCAAGGAATTAAGTTAAATCTACAGAAACCTAGAGAAGTATCTAATTCTGTATTACATAGACAGGGGAGAGGGGAAAGAAAGAATGAGACAAAGAAAGTGAATGCTATTTACATGTGAAGATTACAGAAGAAGTAGATTTTGCCTTATTGAAATAAGTATTGTTGTTTTTGTAGTGTGTGTATGTGTGTGTGTGTGTGTGCTTACCATGTGCATGCAGGTACAGGGGGATACCAGTAGAAGGCATCAGATCTCATAGATAGAGGTGGAGTTACAGGCAGTTGTAGCCACTTAACACAGGTGCTGAAAACATAACTAAAGTCCTATGGAAGAGTAATATGCATTCTTATTCATTGAGCCATTTCTCTAGCCCCATGAGTACATTTTTTGAAAAAAGAGAATGAAGTGAAAGATGGGATGGAGGCAACTTATATGCCTCTAAGTATTCTTGACTATGAAGAAGTTTATTAGTCATTACATACACAGTAGAATCCATCAAGTATCTTTCACAATGCCTTTTGATGTTAGGACATATGATGATGGGATCAATGCTGGAGATGTAGCTCAATTAAGAGAGGGCTTTCCTAGCATGTATGTGGCCCTGAGTTCACTCCCAGCAGCTTATCAACAAAGTGTGGTGTAATCCCAGAACTCTGGAGGCACAGACAGGAAGAGGAGACAGTTCAGGGCATCATTTGCTACAAAGAAAGTTTGAGGCCAGCCTAATTTATGAGTGCCTGTCTCAAAATATTAAAACCAAAATAATTAGTAAATGTATAAACAAGTTGAGCAATAAAAGAAACTTGACTTAAATGTCATATAAAGAACTGTATATCCAACAATAAATATTCTTCTCAAGCACACTTGGAATATTCTTCCCAAGAACTGATCATGTACTAGACTGTAATATAGTCTCAATAAATTTAAAAAAAATGTATTTTTTATCCAAACTACAATCTTTGACTTCAAGGAAATGAAATAAGAAGTTAATTTAAAAAGATAAGTGTAATGCTTTTTCAGCATCTAAGGAGATTATCATGTGGGATTTTCCCCTTTTGTTTACATAGTGGATTACATTGCTGGATTTCCATATACTGAACCACTGTTGCATGGCTGGGATAAAGCTTACATGGTCACGGTGGATGATATCTTTTATGTGTTCTTGGATTCAGTTTGCAAGAATTTAGTTCTAGAGTATTTTTGCGTCAGTGTTCATAGAGAAATAGGTCTGATGTTCTCTTTTTTGTTGGGTCTTTCTGTGGCATCATAGAATGAGTTTGGTAATGCTCCTTCTACTTCTATTCTGTGAAATCGTTTGAAGAGTATTGGAGTTAGCTCTTCTTTGAAGGTCTAATGCTGAGTTCTAATGGTAGAATTCTGCATTCAAACCATATCTGGCCCTGGGCTGCTTTTTTTTTTTTCAGGGAGACATCTATTTCCTTGGGGGATATAGGACTGTCTATTTACCTGATCTTGGTTTCATTTTGGTAAATGGAATCTGTCAAGAAAATTGTCCATTTTGTTTAGATTTTTTTTTCAAATATCTACTTTATTTAAAGTTCTTTTTTTTAATTCTTTATTAATTACACTTCATTCACTTTGTATCCCCCTTGTGGTTCCCTCCCTCCTCCCATCCCAATCCCTCCTTTCCTCCACCCTCTGCATGCATTCCCCTCCCCAAGTCCACTGATAGGGGAGGTCTTCTCAGGAGTGGCTGCATTGTCTTCTTCTGTGGCCTGATAAGGCTGCTTCCCCCTCAGGGGGAGGTAATTAAAGACCAGGAGGTAATCAGTTCCTGTCAGAGACAGTCCCTGTTCCTATTACAATGGAACCCACTTGGATACTGAATTGCCATGGGCTACATCTGTGCAGGGGTCTTAGGATATCTCCATGCACGGTCTTTGGTTGGAGTATCAGTCTCAGCAAAGACCCCTGTATTTTAAGTTCTTAAACTCCTCTACTTCTGTTCCATCCCCCTGATGTTAGATAGGCAGTTGATTGGTAGGGAAAGGAGCTGTATACCTCTTTTAGATACTTCTTGCTGATTAGGGTCATTGGGTTCTTTGGGGGATATACTAAACTCAGTCATCAGGATACCAGAAGTCCAGTCAAACAGCAAAGCAGCAAACCACAGCAGCAGCAGCAACAGCAACAGTAGTGGTACCACTCAGCAAAAACAGCCTAAGTCTGCCCAAACAGCCAGAGTCTGTTGAAGGGGAAAAGCCCTACCAAAGCTGTACAGAAAGTCCTCTGGAGCATTTCTCTATGCAAAAACCAACAAAGCATTCCATAAACAAAGCATAGAGATGGAAAAAAAAAAAACAAACAAACATCATCTCACTATCTGTGGGCTTCTATTTATTCCCTCTCAGAGTGCACACAAAGATGTTTTCCAGCTCACAAAAACTACCCCCCTGGAATGAGTTAGTTTTCAACTGACCAAAATCACATGCCTTTCAAATTTTGTGGTGTATACGCTTTTGAAATAACTTCTAATGATTCTTTGAATTTCCTCACAGTGTTTGTCTTTATGTTCCACTTTTCACATCTGATTTTGCCGATTTTGATAGTTACTCTCTCCCCTTGGTTAGTTTGGCTAAGGGTTTGTCTATCTTGTTGATTTTCCCAAAGAACCAGCTCTTTGTTTCATAATTCATTGACTTGATTTATTTGTTTCTAATTTCTTGATTGCACGTCTGACTTTGATTATTCCCAATCATCTACTCCCCTTGGGTATGTCTGCTTCTTTTTTTTTCTCCCTAGGGCTTTTAGTTTTGCCATTAAGTTGCTTGCATGAGCTGTCTCAAACTTCTTTTTGAAGGCACTTAATGCTATGAACTTTCCTCTTAGCACTGCTTTCATTGTGTCCCATAATTTTGGGTAAGTTGTGCCTTCATTTTCATTGCATTTTAGGAAGTCTCTAATGTCTTTTTTCCATTTCTTCGCTGACACTAAATAAAGAGTTATTTAATTTCCATGTATATGTAGATTTTTTGTTATTTCTGTTGTTGCTGAGGTCTAGTTTTAGGCCATGGATTATTTCAATATTCTTGTATCTTTTGAGGCTTGCTTTGTGTCCAACTATGTGGCAAATTTTGGAGAAGGTTCTGTGGGTTGCTGAGAAGAAGGTACACTCATTTTGAGTTTGGGTGAAAAGTACTGTAGACATCTATTAGGTCCATTTGATTTATGACCTCTTTAATTATCATTATTTCCCTATTTAGCTTCTGTCTAGATGATATGTCCTCTGTCCATTGGTGAGATTGGAGTGTTGAAGTCTCCCACTCTTTTATTCTCATAAGCTCTTTACTTCTTTTTTTAATTAAATTTTTATTTTTATACTAATGACAGTTTATTCACTTTGTATCCTCACTGTACCTCCCTCCCTCATTCCCTCCCAACCCCACCCTCTTTCCATCTTGTCTACCCATGCCCCTCCCCCAGTCCACTGATGGGGGAGTCCTCTTCCCATTCCATCTGATCCTAGTCTATCAGTTCTCATCAGGACTGGCTGCATTGTCTTCCTCTGTGGCTTGGTAAGGCTGCACCCCCCCTTAGGGGGAGGTGATCAAAGAGCAGGCCAATCAGTTCATATCAGAGACAGTGCCTGCTCTCATTACTATGGAACCCACTTGGACACTGAGCTGCCATGAGCTACATCTGTGCAGGGGTTCTAGGTTATCTCCATGAATGGACATTGGTTGGAGTATCTGTCTCAGAAAATATCCCTGTGTCCAGAATTTCTTTCTCTCCTTGTGGCGCTCCTGTCCCCTCCAGGTCTTTCTATCTCCTTCTTCTTTCATAAGATTCTCTGCACTCTGCCCAAAGTTTTGCTATGAGTCTCAGCATCTGCTTTGATACACTGTTGGGTAGAGTCTTTCAGAGGCCCTCTGAGGTAGGCTTCTGTCCTGTTCCCTGTTTTCACTCTCATCTGATTTCCTTCCTGTTTGCCTTTATGAGTGAGGATTTATCATCTTACCCAGGGCCCTCCTTCTTGCTTAGCTTCTTTAGGTGTACAGATTTTATTATGTTTATCCCCTATAATATGTCTAATATTCACTTATAAGTGAGTATGTACTAAGTATGTCATTTTGCTTCTGTAATACCTCACTCAGGATGATCTTTTCTCGTTCCATCTATTTGCATGCAAATTTCATGATTTCCTTGTTTTTAATTGCTGAGTAGTATTCCATTGTGTGAATATACCACAATTTCTGTATCCATTCCCCCATTGAGGGACATCTGGGTTGTTTCCAGCTTCTGCCTATTACAAATAAAGCTGGTATGAAGAATGGCTGAGCAAATGTCCTTGTTATATACTTGAGCATATTTTGGATATA